ACAGACATGCTGCATGGCGATGGTGTGGCCTACCGCATGTCTCTTACTCTCTAAGCAACAAGGTCTTGAGTCAACCTTCTTTCTCTTTCGGCCTCTGACGAGCTACCGCACCCAAACAGACCCAAAATAAGAACTAATAATGTTGTTATGTGGGGAGATATTTATTTTAGACGGATTCCACCTCGGGAAAAAACGCACGAAAAATGTGTTTCGCCAAAAAACCGTGTTTCGAGGTTCCGCCGCGCCTTTTCGTACGAATATCTGCAGTCCAGCTCGTCTGTTTTTTTTTCCATTTGGTGCGTTTTTTTTCCGCGTTTGAAAAAAACAACTTAATGCGCGCACACGCACACATCCACCTTACCGCACGACACGTACGTACTCCGAGAGCACAGCTATCAATCCCTGAGGCAACTGGTGTGGAACCGGCACGCGTTGGGGTCATTTTCTGGTGAACCTTTGTGTTTACAAGAACGTGCTGGGGGCGTGCGTGGTGGGCGTGGTTGAGACAGCTTTTCACCCGCACCAGTAGTAGTTTGCTTCCATGACGAGGCGCAGAGACAGCCTACGCAAGTGTTGTCCTATGACGCGGGAAAGTTTTCAAGAGGGTAGGTTTGCGAGTGACAGCACGGCAGAACTTGACATTGCATGTCGATACGACGGCGCCCGTTGGTCCAGGATAAAGCAAATAGGAAGAATGTGGATGCTCGTTCTCGCTTCGCGGCGTACGTGTATAGACTACACCGGACTTGGGTGGCGGTATGTTGCTTGGGGAACCAACACGCTAATTACCACATCTACAGCGGGATTCTTCCTACTACACGCGTTACCACCCCTCGCACCTGAGAACTTCTACAGCAAGTATGGCCGAGGCTACAATGGCCGCTAGACACGTTTTGTTGTAAAGGGAGTTCTTACCCGGACCCAGTCACAAATGATGTGTCACGGTAGCATGAACGGGCGCTAAATACTGAGATTCAATCCGTTTCACGATGGCTTGAGGAGGGCAAGGGTATACCCCACGGCATACCTGCATCATTGGTGGAGCCTCTCTAGGACTCCGTCCCAACACGTTTTTAAGGTGATCGCTCACTGGTAACACGGCCAATGTCGGAAAAGGAACTTTGACCCACCGCTAAGAAGCAACCAGTCTGTGAGTCGATGGATGAGAGGTAGATCTAGATAGATCTTGCTTAGACCCACCTTGCTAGTCCCACCTTGATTAGAACCCTCTGGCTAGACCTACCGGGATTGTATCCCTTCTGCTAGCCCCAACTTGAATCAACTTGTAAGATACCATGAAACTAACCATGAAATGGACGAAAGTAATTGAACCCTGGTCAGTGTTTGTTACGAGTGAACTACCTGAACCACTGTCACAGATGCTCAAGTCCTCATGTTTTGACATAATGTTGAGTATGGAGGTCTTCACTGCCAGGGTCTTCAAGTGCGGGCACCAGCGATATCGAAGGAGCATGCAATGAAGGATGTTAGTGTGCACTGCCGCCCTCAGCGGTCTGTGGTGTTGAGACTGGGTGGAATGTTATCCCAGGAACAACAGATGAAAAAGGACCATTGAACAACATATTCGCCTGATTGAGAGCGTAGCATCTGATTGAGAGCGAGATTGCGCGATACGCTGTAGCCGGACTACCACTGAGAGGTGGAGCTTGCTGTGTAGCTTGAATTGAAGGGCTAGCCCGTAGCTTCAAGCCGCTACCCTGGTCATCCTGTGGGAGTCTCTCGTTGTGGAGCTACAGCGGGGAGCAGAAGCTACAGCAGAGCCCACCGCCCGACGCGATACCGCCCTGAAACAGTTTGAGCAGAAATAGCCAATCTGGGCAAATCTAGCAACTTGTCTAGCTCCTCGCTGCAGCATCCGATGACGATGACACGCATATGCTCGCGAAGCTGCTGATGAGACCTTCAATTTGCACCGCTTCTTGGAATAGCCCGTCCCCTACTTGCCAAGAAATGGCAAGAGGCGTCTGGACCCGAAATTTCAATTTTTTTGGCTCTCGCTCTCAATCAGATACTTCGCTCTCAATCAGGCGAATATGTTGTTCCATGTATTCGACTATATATATCCGTCACGCAAGCCCCTCAGGCAAGCTGGTCACCAACACGCAAGCCCCTCAGGCAAGTGCCGGGAGCACACCGCCGTGTGCTCACCCCGGGGGACCGCACTTGGACCCCAACCGCATACATACCCAACACACCCATAATTCCCATACGCGTATCCCCCACAGAGAATGCACAGATCGGACTCATATCCAAGTACCACAAACAGCCCCCCTACTTGATACGATGTACGATCTTGCAACCCTTCACGCGCAATCAGCCAACACAGAAAAACACCCTTAGAGAAAACTTACTCAACAAAACTAGCTACACATTCAGCACAAAGCGTTTCCATCCATCAGTTTATTCACGAATCCAACGTGTTCGTCTCTGGAAATAACCTCAAACCGTTGACACATAATAATCATCCTCAGAAAGGTACCCAACAGTTATTTGTGCTACATCAGAAAGGCGTCGGAACGAAAACGGATATTTCTGGAAAAAAACAACTTTGCAAGAGTTGGCACCAAATCCTCAAACAAAACAAAAACTCAACTTCTTGACCAATCAAAACGAGAATTCGGAAAGCACAACGGCCCAAACCATTAATCGTCAAAACATGTCAAATCCTTCCTCCAATACAGTGTCCACGGACCAAATCCTAAACAGCGCGCACCCGCTAATCGGTACCGTCGCTGTTGTCCAAGAAACGATAGAAAACGTAAGTGAGCATCCACGTAAACAGCTCCCCTGCTGTCAGCTCCCAAAATTCACCCCGAGCTAATATTTCGATGCCAACAGCCCCCTTGCTTTGCCGTTCACCTAACACACAAGTAGGCGCGACCAGAAAACAAACCAATTCGATTGCTGCTCTTGCCCTCTAGAATCATGGTCATACATGACATTATGACATCCCCCCCCATGATCTTCGATGCAATAGCAGCAAAACATGCGATACAAACCAGAACATGAAAAAAAGACGTAACACACAACAAGGCGTCAAACTCCGGGAAAAGTTCGTACCGTATGCAAACTGTCTCCTCAACTGGAACTCCGAAAGCCCCCCTGCTCCCTGATCGGTATGCCTTCATGCATGTCAAACAACGCGCTATCATCCCATTTCGTGCGCGCGGCCAGAAACACACCGCAGAGAGCGAACACTTAACTCAGGACCTCACATAAAAAAGTATCGAAACATTCTAAGTGCAAAGTGTCCAGTTCGTAGAAAAAAAAAAAATCGACTGAACGTACCCCTTCCAAAGAATACGGAAATAGTGTGAAGCATTCAGCTGAAAGTTTAAACGTGACTGAAAATATACCAAGAACCAAGAAAAAAAAAAACTCACGTGCTGCTTCCTATTCCACAGGTTGTGGCAATGATTATCTTGTCGCAGCGATATTATTATCATGAAACCAAGTACAAAAAGTATTACGCACACGCCGTGGCATACACGTGTTTTCTGAATCAAAGTGCACGGTGCGCTAGCAAGGGAAAAACAGAACAAAAAAAAATAAATGCGAAGCCAAATGGCGAAGCTAAAACGTCCATGCCTGCTAAAAAAAAACAGAACAAAGTCGAGAAGGTTGCACATGTTCTCCCACTTGGCTGCAACAAGTTGAGGTCGTCGCTGTCACCGTGTCTTCCCCGTTCCCGGTCGACTCGAGGGCGCCGCCGCTGCTGCCGCCGCTGCCATCGCCGCCGTTGCCGTTCCCCCACCGCCACTACCGTCATGAGTTCCAACGCCGGTGACGTCGCTGCTGCCGCCTCTACCACGGCTGCCGTTGTCGCCGCTGCCGCCTCTACTACGGCCGCCGTTGTAGCCGCTGCCGCCTCTACTACGGCCGCCGTTGTAGCCGCTGCCGCCGACGGGGCTCTGGCCAAAGCCGCCGCTGCCGTCTTCTGCTGCCGTCAGAGTTCTGGCCGAAGCCACCACTCCCGTCGCTGCTCCTGCTGCCGCCGGTGTCGCCGCCGGAGCTCTGGCCGAAGCCGCCACTCCCGTCGCTGCTGCGGCTGCCGCCGTTGCGGCGGTTGCCGCCGCCGGAGC